TTTTCCCTAACCATTGTTTCCGTAAAAAATTTCCCCACCATTAAAAGACTACCTTCCTCACGTTTTAAACAAACCAAAGGGATCTCCCGGGGGGATCAAAACCCACGCCAAAGAGGAAAACGGGGATTAGAATCATCGTAACAATTTATTTCAAAAATTCTCCATTTTTCTAAGTTTTTTGGAAAGTCCCAAATTTCTTCCCCCAAAATTATATATTTTTTAAAATTTTAAAAACCCCTTAATAACACTTTCAAATTTTTAAGATTTTTCGAAATTTTCTTTTGGTTCGGGGCCTAAAAAAGAAAAAATTTTTTTTTTAAAAAAAAACCATTTCCGGGCCAAGCTTTTTTCCCAGTTTATTTTGTTTTCATTCCCTTTTTGACCAGAATCTCAAATTTTAAAATTTTATTTACATAAAAACCCCATTTAGCCATATGAAATTTTAAATTTAAATTTTACCCCCAGTTTTTGAATTTAAAAAAATTTCCCATTTTAAATTTAAAACAGGATTTAATACCAAAATGAAATTTAAAAAATGAGGCAAACCAAAAACAATATTAGCCTGGGTTTCGATTTCCAAATTTTAAAACCCTTTTAAACCCTGGCCGGCCCTTTTTATTTGGTTTGGAAAAGGCTTACCCCACTATCCTTTTCCCCGGGCATTTAAAGACCCAGAAATGCTTCTAAAAAATGCTTCTTTTTCCTTTTCCCTTTAAAAAAAGCTTTTTTTATTTTTAAAAGTGTGTTTTTAAAAGTTTTTAAAAAAGTTATTTCAAAAGAAAATTTTATTGAACCATCTTTTTTCCCCCTGTATTGCCTTTTTTTGGCCCAAATTTAATTAAAATTTAATAAAGGTTTAACAGTTTTTTGGTATGGGAAAGTAAAAATTTACTTACTTTTTTTAAAAATTTCCCTACTTTTACGACAAATCATTTCACATTTATAGTATATTCTTCTTTGTTACATGCATTTTAACGGGTCTAAAAACCATTTTTTTTAAATGAAAAATTAAAAAACCAATCATTTTTCGCTCTCTTTTTTAAAAGGAACAAAAATTATTTCTTCTTTCTGAGACATAATGGACCTTCCAATTTTTTTTAAAACCTGAAAAGCATCCCTCTCATTCACAATACAGTTAAACCCAAACTAAATGGGGTTCCCACCCATACTTTTTGGGGCATTACACACCCCCATAAAAGGGTGGTACCTCTAAAAACATCTCCGGGTACCAGATTTTTTTGATGGTAATCCTCATACACTGTCAAAAATTTTACAACATTTTCAAACTTTAATTTGGGACTGTGGGCAAAAGCCTTTTAAAGGGAGAAGCCCAGAAAAAAAAAATTTTAAATGATTGAACCCTACAGTTAAACTTGTTTACACCCCCAAAAATATTTAAATCCCAGTTACCCCCCCCCCAAATTCTTCCTAAAAACAAATTAATATAATTTCCCCATAAAAATTATTTTAAATTTTCAATCAACAAAAAAACGAGAAAAAATTCCAACTTTACCATAAATTTCCCCTGCATTTACGGTCAAAATTTGTTAAATCTGTAGGGGTTTTCCTTTTTTAAAGGCCCTCTGAAAATTTTTAAAAATATATAACAAAATGTTTTAATAAAAATTGTGGCTTTTCTTTTTTATTTTTTTTTTTAAAAACAAACAGATTTTTCTGTTTTTTTTTGGGCCTTTCCATTTCAAAACACACCCCAAAAAAGGACCCTTTATTCCCAATTTTTTCTAACATAAACCCGAGAAGGACCACAATTTGGAAAAACCTCCATGCAGTATTTCGGGGTCTTTAAAGGGGCCCCACCTCTAGTCCCAACGGGCCAAACCCAATTTAAAAGGGGCTTGCTTAAATAGTTTTGAAAAACCAAATACGGGACTCTTAAACAGCATTCTATATTTTTTATTTTTTTATAAAAAAAATGGGGGAACCTTCCTTTTTTTGGGTTTAAGATAGATAACAAAATTAAAATTTTAAAAAAACCCTTCCCCTTTCTTGTTTAGGAAAACCCCAAAATTACTTTTTAAGGGGAACAAAATCTTTGGGTTTTGAAAGTTTCCTATATATGGGAATTTCGGGGCCTTTTTTTTTTTTGGGTTTAAAAAACCTATATTTAGAATGAGAATTTAACCCTTTTTCTGGTATGGTTAAGATTCTATATATGGGAAATTAAAAACAAACCCTTTTCGGTTTTTGTGGTTTCTATTTTATTAAAATTTATGCGCTTTACCTTTCGGGTTTTGGTATAAAAACCCTAAAAATAAAAGTGGACTAACCTGGTTTGGTAGATTTTGTATTTTAAATTTGTGGTTTCTTCCCTTTTCTGGTTTGGTAGATCTAAAAAATTTAGAATAGGACATCCCCTTTTCCGGGTTTTGGAAACACTTTTAATTTAAATGGGGGGATTTAAATCACTTTTTTTTGACTTTTAGAATGTGGCCCCCAAACTAACCTTTCTAGTTTGGTAGATGGATTAGACAATGAAAACCCACAGTTTTTAAAATAATGAGGGCATGAAGCGTAAAATAATCCCAGGGGCCCCAAACCATCCCACTAAACATAAACATTTGGGAAAACCCCATAAAATTTGGTGTTTTAATGCCTAAAATATTAATAAAAAAATAGTTTTTAAAACCGCAATTTTAAAAGTCAATTGTCATAGTCATTTTTAAAGTGAAAGGGGCCAATTTAAATTTAACGGAAATGAATGCAAGAAAAAGGGTTAAACAAAAATTTTTGGCATCCTTTAGAACTAAAAAACCCTCATTTCGGGTTAAACTCAACCAACGTTTTCGGGGTTTAAAGTGATTTTTTTTAAAAGCACCCTTTGCCTCAATTTTTAAATCTTTTTACCATGAAAATTTTGAAATGTATTTAAAAAAAAAGGTTTTAAATACTGGAAAAGTGAATAAAGAAATTTATTTCCACTTTTGGAAAAAGGGGAAAATTAAAAACCCTTTCATTAAAGGGACCAAAACAATTTCGGAAAAATATGCAAAAAAAAAACCCCCTTTTTAATGTGTAAGCCCACACACTGAAAAAAATACGGGAAAAAATTTGGTTTTCCCCTTTTTTGAAATTTTCTTTTTTTAAAGTTAGAGGGCCCCCATTTATCCCTTTTCTGTCATGCAGAAGGGGAAAAAAAGACGAAAGAGAAGTAAATCCTTATACTGGCCACTATTTCCAGTCCCAGATAAGTTAACAGGCCCCCAAAAAAAGGCAAATAAAAAATTTTAAACAATGTATCCCTATCAATGTTTAACAGATTAAAGCTGCATGGCCGAGGTGGTTGGGATTCATTGGACTAGTAATTTAAAATTATTTGGCTGGCTGCATTAAAGGCTAATGTGGGCAAGCAAGGTTGTTTTTTTCCCCTGTGTTAGGGAAACTATACAACACATTGCTAAGTTAAAGGGTTGTTTCCAGAAATGGACTTATGTGTACAATAAAGGCTTAATAGCCTTCGTTCCCAATCAAACTAAAACAAATTTGTGTATACACCAAAACCAATCTATGTAAAGTTCCATACAAAAGACCTCAACCTCTTTAAAAAATTAATGGAGATAGGAATTTTTGGTTGACATGTAACCAGCTTATACGGTTAGGACCCATATAATTTACTTTCCTGAAATTTTACCCAAAATCTAAAACTAAAATTGCAAAATCAATTTAAACTACCTGAATGCTTTCTTTTTAAAGGGAGAAAATATAAATTTTTTAGCAAAATCTATCTTTTCTATGATAGAAAAAAAAATTCACAAATTTGAATTTTTGCAAATCTACTTGAATAAAGATTCAGCAAAATCTTAAGCACTGAATATCCAAAGTGTAAAATAATATGGAGGATTAAACCATTTTCATTATCCATAAGGGCGTTTATCATTTTGAACAAGGGGGATACTCAAAATGTAAACAAGGGCACGAAATAAAAGAAAATAAAACTGTTCACTGTTAATTTCAACATCAAAAGTAACCTTTAAATATGTGTGTATACATACATTAATCCATCCTTTACAAAAGGTTTTAGCCAACAAAATTGATAATTTTTAAATGTTTAATTTCAAAATGAAATTGAATAATTTTTCCCCAACTGAAAACAATTTCCCAAAATTTCAAACTTGATTGGAAAAAATTTGCGGGTTATCTTTTTGCTTTATTTATGATACAAAAGGCCCCAAGGGTGATTTGGGCCCAAGTCAATAATGTTTTTTTAAAGGTTTTTTTAAAATTTTAAAAAGGGAAATTTTTGGGGACCTCCCCTTCCTGCAAAACGCCCAATTTTCCCCAAAAGTGAAAAAAATTTCCCCACCCCAAAGGGGGGCCCCTTTTAAAACTAAAGTGGGAAAAAAAAAAAGGGAAGTAAGGGGTGTACAAAAAACAAGGGGTTTCCATCCCCCAGTTTAATCTATGTTTCTAGGGTCTTGGGGGGGTTCGGGAAAAAGGTTTTTACCCAAATTTTTTTTCCTGTTATTTGGGGCCAAAAGGAAAAACCAAAGGATTTTTTTCGGGAAATAAAAAATTTCTATAAAAAAAGCTTTGGAAAGCCCTTTTAATAAGGGTTTGGGAAATTTTTCGAAAAAAAATTTGCTTTATAAGGCATACCACATCACAAAAAATTGCTGCGGTGAATATATGTTTTTTTCATACAAAACTGCTTATGTTTTTTCCCCAATGTAGCAATGGTTTTCTAAATTAGTTATTCATACAAATTACTCTATTTTAATATTTAAAGAAAAAAGGTGATTTTTTTTCACTCACATTTATTAAATTAAGGCTTTAAATTGAAGTTATACATTACATTTTTTTTTCCACAACTACATTTAAGTATAAACATTACAGTCAGCTCTTTTCAGTGGAAGGCCCTCTATAATGTTGTAGTAACTTTTGGAATACCAGCTCTTTTGTATATATTTACAATAATATATTGATGTTTGATTATGCATCCTTGTGCATAATTTTATGTATGTGTATATATATTCAAAACAATATGATAAAACATAGTGAAACTTCACCTTTTTCTTTGGTGTTCATAGCTTAACCCTTTGGCCTCATGGAAATATGAGCATGTATTGTTAACTTCCAAACCCCTGAAATACACAAAACATCACATTAAAATCATAAATGTTACAAAATCTCAGCTATTTACCTTAAGAACCATTACCATGGTAACAAAAACCTCAAATGGCATAACTTGTTAACCATTATTACCCAGCTGGAACCAAACGTGATAAGCCTTTGCCATCAGTCTGTCTGACCTTGCTCTTTACTGTTGTAAGATCCATTTTCTTTGTATTCTGATATTGAAATCCCTTATATTTTGAATGGACTGTTCTAGAATAAAAGCAGGGCAAATTCATAACATAAATTCAGCAGGTAATATGTTAGGAAACCAGTCGGTTTTTAGCTAAAAATTTGTTTGAAAATCAGTAACTAGTGACCAAGGTTAGTATTTGACAGAGGCAAAAAAGTTTTCAATTGATTCTAAATAGTATTTTAGTTTTTTCATAACAAGATATGACAAATTGTTTGTATTTTAATTGTACTCAACAATTAGTTTTCCAATCTGATAGAGTGCGGTATAACCCTTATGAAAAATAGTTACTCCATATTCGGATGTATTAATGTATTTTATTACATGCTTTTCGGTAGTTTATAGAAATATATCAGTGTAATAAAAATTGATAATTTCACTGTTTTAAACAGTGAAATTATCAATTTGATAATTTCACTGTTTTGAATTTAAGCCCCTTACGTTGTTTTAGTGAAACACCAGCGTGCACAGTACTGGGAACCAACTTTATGACGTGACGTCGTAAATGACGTCATGTTGTATTATTATTTGGCGCGCTTTTCTTTCAGTATTAGGTTTAATGTCTTTTTAAAACGTTTCTTTGCATATAATAAAAGAAAATTTGTTTAGTTTAGTGTAAGATCGAAATGTATTTCACCGTGAACACCAAAATTTTATATTTCACTCGTGGCTGCGCCACTCGTGAAATATACCTTTTGGTGCTCACTCGGTGAAATATATTCTGATCTTACACTGAACTAAACAAATATCCTCTATGTATCAGTTTGAGTTCAACTAAGTACAAACAAAATGTCTTGTCATAAAGAAACAAAGTTAAATGTTGAAAATTATTACAGTCTGTTAAACATTTAACACTGTTATTACGTTGCCATTTAAACGGTCAGCATTTTATTTTAACCCCAAAAAGAAACAGTGAAAATCATACCTCAATTTCTGGTATTTGTCCTCCTCAGCATTCCAGATGAACTTTACTCTCTTTACAACAAAATATCGGATCAGGTTTTCATCTCTCTAAAATAGTTGACACAATCATATCTTATTTAAATAGGAGAATATAAGTCAAGTTGTCACACACAACTTTTTTTAAATAACTTGTGTTAACAACTATAATTTGTCTGAAATCTTTCTCAATATTTTTTTAAGCATTTTTCAAACTAGAACTCCGCGAGTCCGATGTGTCGCCTTGTGAACAATGTAGTTTAGGAGAAATGGCCAGGACAAAAATGAAATATGAAAAATAACAAAGGGCAATAACTAAAAAATAATAAGTGCAGAGCAGCAGTTTCTGTGCACTGCACTTCTTATCAATAAGATGTATCATTCTATGATGTTTCAAGTCCATAGCTTTCATACTTGAGGAGAAATGACCAGGACAAAAATAAAGTAAGAAAATCAACAAAGGGCAATAACTCAAAAAATAAGAAATGCAGAGTATCAGTTCTTATGCACTGCACTTTTTCTTAATGACATCTATCATCCTATGAAGTTTCAAGTCCATAACTTTTATACTTTCGGAGAAATGGCCTGGATAAAAATTAAGTATGAAAATTAACAAAGGGCCATAACTCAAAAATTAAGAAATGCAGAGTACCGATTCTTGTGCACTGCACTTCTTCTTAATGAGATCTATCATCCTATGAAGTTTCAAGTCCATAGCTTTTATACTTAAGGAGAAATGGCCTGGACAAAATTAAAGTATGAAAATAAACAAAGGGCAATAACTCAAAAAATAAGAAATGCAGCGTACCTGTTCTTGTGCACTGCACTTCTTCTTAATGAGACCTATCATCCTATGAAGTTTCAAGTCCATGGCTTTTATACATTAGGAGAAATGGCCCGGACAAAAATAAAGTATGAAAATTAACAAAGGGCAATAACTCAAAAATTAGGAAGTGCAGAGTACTGGCAAAAATTAGGAAGTGCAGAGTCCTGGTTCTTGTGCACTGCACTTCTTCTTAATGACATCTATCATCCTATAAAGTTTCAAGTCCATAGCTTTTTTAGTTGAATAGAAATGGCCCGGACAAAATTAAAGTATGAAAATTAACAAAGGGCAATAACTCAAAAAATAAGAACTGCAGAGTACCGGTCCTTGTGCACTGCACTTCGGGTTTTTGAAAGAAGCATGCATACCAAGTTTGAAGTCAATCAGAGTTATAGTGACTGAGTTATGCTCCGGACAAGCTTTAGGGGACGCCGACAACGACACAGACGCCGCCGACAAAAGTAACCCCTATATGTCACCTTTTCAAGGCGACACAAAAAAATATTTTCTAAAAAAAGCAAACTGCATTGGCACTATGCACATATAATGACATTTCTTTTTTCTTTACAAAGGGAAACAACTTGTCTAAAGTAAGTATAAATATCCCTTAAGAGTTGTTTGCCCATTTTTTTTTAATTCTATTCTAAGTAAATTGACATTCAAACATCAAAATTTGTCACGTATTTTCTTATCATTGTATAAATTATCACTAAGATTTTGTATAGGTAGTAAAAAATTTCACTCATTAATATTTATTAATATACTACCATTACATGAATTATGCATGCAAGATATATATACTATACAGTTATGTGCAATACAGAATGCATATTAATCATACATAAAATGTTGCCTCACTTTTATTTCATGACAAGTTAATGCACATCTGCTCTGCTAATGTTATATGGCAACAATAATGGCAACTTTAAATCTGTAAAGGTCAAATAGTGACTTTCCCGATATACTGGTAAAAAATAGACTGTAAAAGCCCATTTTTGCATTATTATAGGCTAGAAAGCCACAAGTATAACTACAGGGCTGCCTTTCATAGTAAGTCCTAAACTGAGACAATTTTCATTTCAAAGAAAATGTCAAAACTAATGAATCCTATGTTACAAATCTTTTAATTTCTGAATAGCAATGCTGATGGGCATTCACTTTGCGAATAAAAGTGTCTGTCGTTGTATGTCTTAACTGTTTTCAGGAGAATAGATTTATTTGTAGTAAACAGTATTTGATCGAAGACAAAAATATTTATTGAAATGGTCTTTAGTTAGTCCTAAAGTTGGTTTTATGTCCTAGGTCTTAGGATACACTTAGAACTTTCAATGAAATGCAGTCCAGGTCTTTCACTTTAGAAGCCAGCTTGATAACTTCCTTCCAAAAAAAATAAAATCCAAAGACCCTGTCAGTCATCAAACCCACAATGATTCTTAGCTAACCACCTTAACCATTGGCCACTTCAGCAGGGAAATGGTTTACTTGATGTATATACAAAGTCATGTCACATAAATAAACAATGACAAAACATTGACACAAAGTTACAAACACAGGTAATCAGTTCTCTTTGCAATTGTATTTGTGTTAGTGATTTCTAGTGACTGGTAAACAAGGACATAAGGTAAACAAGGACATACAGGTGAACAAAGGGCATACACATGAACAAGGAAATAGTGTCCAGGTTAAGTTTATTAGTACCCACTGATGCTTTCAACTCTGGATTAGATTTCCTCACTGCATACTGTAATCAAAGTAATGCTAACAATTTTAGACAATGACTAAGCCTTACTAAATGAAACACAAACAAAATTCTTTTAATCGCAATGAAATAAAGTCTCAAAAAATTACCATAAGTGACGTTAGACTGATTGTGTCTTTTCAGTAAAAGGGTCTTGATCAAAATAGGCAGTTAGGGGCAATCATTATCACATTGTCCTTTTTGTTGCATTTAGGTGAATCTGAATATCTAGATATATATGTTTGTTTGATTTGGGTTTTATGTTGCATGGACACAGTATAGGTCATAAGGAGACTTTCCAGATTTACTGGTCGAGGAAGACCTCAGGTGCACTTCCGCGCATTATTTCAGCTTCCTCACATGACAGAATCCAAAGTCCATGTTATCCTGTTGGGACACTTATCCACAACGGTGGTTTGAAGTCAACGACCTTAACTACATGTGGATATAGTAAACCTAATTACAATGTCTATAGATCTAGCTACAGGTACAATAACCTGACTATTTTTATGTAAGAGTTTTATTATACATGTATACCTAAATCATATTTTGTTTTTATCTATTTATACACTGATAAATACAGGTCATTTACCTCTGTCATTACAATACTACAAACATATTATATAGATCAAGTTGTCGGCCCACTTAGCTCAATAAGGTGAGCATTAGATTTGTTATCCAGGGGTCACAGGTTCCATCCACAAGGGAGGCGAAATTTTTTCTATGACAACTGACCTCTGATATTGAGTCCAGTGGTCATTTCTGTCATGGCTAGTGATAACTTTCCGAGGCATTAATTACTTGACAGTTGTAATTGTTACCGGTAGTTATAATTATAATTACAGGATAGTTATCACGGAAAGCCAGTTAAAGACGACCACTCACTGAGATATAGAGGATATTTGTTTGTTTTGCATGTAAGATTGAAATATAATTTCACTGAGTGAACACCAGATGCAATATTTTCACGAGTGGCGTAGCCACGAGTGGAAATATAATAGCGGGTGTTCACGAATGAAATATATTTCAATCTTATATGTAAAACAAATAAATTTTCTTTTTATTTGATGCTTTTTAAGTGATTTTAAGTATTTTTTTTACTGATTTTGCCGCGCAATGTCGCGCATTCTCCTTTGTGACGTCATTATATCATGACCTCACATCATAAGTTTTGAAATATAGTTCTGTTAAATTTCTCTAATTTTGTTACATTTTTAACATGATGTATGATGACATTGACTTTCTTTTCCTAAATAAGTATATTTACGTATGACGGCATTCAATTCTGCCTGTTATTCCAGTTGGTTATGATTTTCTTTTCATTCGCATTCAGATATAGTCCGGCTACAGTGAAAATTATATTTTATAAATTTCACTAGTGGTTTATCAGAATATAATCATCTGGTATATTGTAATAAAACACTGGAAAGCATGAAATAAATGACCACAATTCTTGAATTGTTTAGAAATTCGGGTAAAGCCAGATAAACAGACAAATATTGCTCATGTGAATATTAAAGTAAATCCCTTATGCTAACAGTTGAAAACTTTTTATGCATAACTAAAATTATTCTATTTTAGGTTATATACACTTGTAATAGGACATTTTTTATTTTTTTTTAGAATACATGTGCTACAATAAAGTCTAATTCATGATTGCTTAAGTTTCAAAAATATTACTCTTGTCATTCATAAAGTTATCTATTTAGAATTCAAACCAGTGACCTGTTATAGTATTGCAGTTTTTCTACAATGAAATATAACCAAGAATTGAATTCTGCAGAAAATCCCTATCATATTCAGGCTCAACATTTTGGAACTCCCTCCCTTTTAACATAAGAAATTCTTCCAACTTACAAACATTCAAATCTAATTATCTTAAATGGTGGTTCTCTGGTGGGCACCAAATAATCTAGCTGTGTTTTAATATCACATATATACATGTACATGTATGTCTCATAAAATGTACAATTTCATACTTTCAAAATAATTAATGTTTGTATTCATTTTCTTATTGCAATTTTCAATTACTCTATTTTTCTATGTTGTATAACTTGTATACATTAAGTTTTCTTTCTTTGTTTATATAAATCTAAATGTTTGTAACTGTATATATGTACATTTTTGATAGAGGCTCATAGGGAAGACTGGGCTTGCCTAACTATGTTGCCTCTTTAAATAAAGTCTTTATTATTATTATTATTATATTTATGGTTAACTACAGGGGTGGCTTATTTTAATTAGAATAATTATATAGAGAAAGTCTCTGGATGCAGGTACATGCAGAGTAGCTAATAGCTACATTCATACTCTGAATAAGTAATAATTATATTCTTGCAAAATTATAATGCTGAAGTATTTTCAAAACTGTTTTTTTCTCTTTGCTTTAGAATCATTAAAATTGCTTAGTCCAAAACTATAAAATTTCCTCTTTTAAATGTGAGTACTGTATAAGTAGATATTTCCACGTGAATGAAAGTTAGCAAATTTAAAATTCCAGAATTTTGCACATGGAAATATTAGTGACTCATGCAACTTATTGACAAGTTTGTTGATATTTACCTTAGAGAAAATTTTAGCAATTCCCATAAATTCAAAAATTTGCCAGTATCTGCGCTTCCCTAACTTAACCACTTACACAGTATTTGGAATGATGATCATTACCTATTTTGTGCAAAGAAATCATTTCATTACTATCAATCAAACATTTATTAGTATCACACAAGATAGTATAACATGCTGAAGAAACTTAGAAAGAAAAACACACCTGCCCAGTGTTAAGAAATAGCTGTGCACGTCTGCGTCTCGACTTGGATGGTATGGAAAATGATACAGATGGTTTCAGTACTTCAACCCTACAAAAATAATGCCTTTTAAATTGGGAAAAAAGCTGATAAATCATAACAAACAATATCTGATTTATAAATTAGGTTGTTTTTCATAATTGGCCATGTAAACATAAAAGTTTAAGTTGATTTTGGTCACATTGTTTGGGATTTCTGAAAAGTAAATTGGAAATTATCAAATCTTTTTGTAAATTGGGAAAAGAGCTTAATTTGACCTTTTTTATGCAAAAAAAATGACTGCATTATTTTGTGTAGTAAAAGAAAAGTATTAATTATGATAGTCAGCATGTAAAACTCTCTCCGAGGAAAGGTCAAGATGTTTGGTGTTTCCTTTGCAAGTCAGACATATGAGTTCAAGCCCTACTTTAGAAATGTCCATGTTTCTTATATGACATCAGAAACTGTTAGTCTAAAGCTGCATGCCTCCAGATTAGCCAAAATATTTCAAGAAAAATAACTTGAGAAAAATGTACTTTAGACTTATGAAAAGGAAGGAGATTCAAAATTCAACTAATAATATATATTTCATGTGCAATTAATAACTAATTTTGCAGTATTTTTCACGATATTTCTGTGTTAACAAAATAAGGGCTATTTTTGAATACTTTGACTCTTTTCTGGTAATTTACATGGATTGTGCTGTTAGCAATTTGTTACCAAAACAATTATTTTACATTTAAATACCTTCTTAAAATTTGCATGAAAATTACATGTAGCTTGAATCTGGAGGCTTCGATTAATGTGAAGAGATACTCTGCTTAAGAACTCCAAAAAAAGTCTTTTAAATTCCAAGTACTCAATGTTAACCATGGATTTTTTTCAACATAAACATGACAATATGACCATCACCTTTAACACATGGTTTTAGAATAAGCAATTTGTAAAAATCACACTCATAAAAATTATAATTCATGAAATCAGGCTTTAATAATATGATAGTGAAGTATAAGTAATGAACTTTAAACTCATGAATTGCGTAAAGCATTTGCCCAGCTTCGAGCCTGAAACAATCCATTCATTGCCCAGCTTAGAGCCTAAAACAATCCATTCATTGCCCAGCTTCGAGCCTAAAACAATCCATTCATTGCCGAGCTTTGAACCTGGAACAATCCATTCATTGCCCAGCATTAAGCCTGAAATAATCCATTCATTGCCCAGCTTCGAGCCTGAAACAATCCATTCATTACCCAGCTTCGAGCCTGGAACAATCCATTCATTGCCGAGCTTTGAACCTGGAACAATCCATTCATTGCCCAGCTTCGAGCCTGAAACAATCCATTCATTGCCCAGCTTCGAGCCTGAAACAATCCATTCATTGCCCAGCTTAGAGCCTGAAACAATCCATTCATTGCCCAGCTTCGAGCCTAAAACAATCCATTCATTGCCCAGCTTAGAGCCTGAAACAATCCATTCATTGCCCAGCTTCGAGCCTAAAACAATCCATTCATTGCCCAGCTTAGAGCCTGAAACAATCCATTCATTGTCCAGCTTCGAGCCTGGAACAATCCATTCATTGCCCAGCTTCGAGCCTAAAACAATCCATTCATTGCCCAGCTTAGAGCCTGAAACAATCCATTCATTGCCCAGCTTCGAGCCTGGAACAATCCATTCATTGCCCAGCTTCAAGCCTGGAACAATCCATTCATTGCCCAGCTTCGAGCCAGGAACAATCCATTCATTGCCCAGCATTAAGCCTGGAATAATCTATTCATTGCCCAGCTTCGAGCCTGGAACAATCTATTCATTACCAAGCATCGAGCCTGGAACAATCCATTCATTGCCCAGCATTGAGCCTGGAACAATCCATTCATTGCCAAGCTTCGAGTCTGGAACAATCCATTCATTGCCCAGCTTAGAGCCTGGAACAATCCATTTATTGCCAAGCTTTGAGTCTGGAACAATCCATTCATTGCCCAGCTTCGAGCCTGGAACAATCCATTCATTGCCGAGCTTTGAACCTGGAACAATCCATTCATTGCCCAGCTTCGAGCCTGAAACAATCCATTCATTGCCCAGCTTCGAGCCTGAAACAATCCATTCATTGCCCAGCTTAGAGCCTCGAACAATCCATTCATTGCCCAGCTTCGAGCCTAAAACAATCCATTCATTGCCCAGCTTAGAGCCTGAAACAATCCATTCATTGCCCAGCTTCGAGCCTGGAACAATCCATTCATTGCCCAGCTTCGAGCCTGGAACAATCCATTCATTGCCCAGCTTCGAGCCTGAAACAATCCATTCATTGCCCAGCTTCGAGCCTAAAACAGTCCATTCATTGCCGAGCTTTGAATCTGGAACAATCCATTCATTGCCCAGCTTCGAGTCTAAAACAATCCATTCATTGCCCAGCTTAGAGCCTGAAACAATCCATTCATTGCCCAGCTTCGAGCCTGGAACAATCCATTCATTGCCCAGCTTCAAGCCTGGAACAATCCATTCATTGCCCAGCTTCGAGCCAGGAACAATCCATTCATTGCCCAGCATTAAGCCTGGAATAATCTATTCATTGCCCAGCTTCGAGCCTGGAACAATCTATTCATTACCCAGCATCGAGCCTGGAACAATCCATTCATTGCCCAGCATCGAGCCTGGAAAAATCCATTCATTGCCAAGCTTCGAGTCTGAAACAATCCATTCATTGCCCAGCTTCGAGCCTGGAACAATCCATTCATTACCCAGCTTCGAGCCTGGAACAATCCATTCATTGACCAGCTTCGAGCCTGGAACAATCCATTCATTGACCAGCTTCGAGCCTGGAACAATCCATTCATTGACCAGCTTTGAGACTGGAACAATCCATTCATTGCCCAGCATCAAGCCTGGATTTATCCATTTAGATAAAATTTAATTGAGCTACCAACAGTGCAATGCCTGGTTGTTCTACATTAAAGTGCAGGCATGGTCAGAAAAAGGAAGCTGATGACAAATGTCACATTTTCTCAAGTCAAAAATTAATATATTACACATGTAATAATGAAAAAATAAAGAGTTTGCGAAAAAAACACCCTAAAAAAGTCAATTCTCAATACCTTACCTTGTTCCATCCTTGGTCATTGTGTCAACCTTAGCTACAAACCATTGTTTGTACTGGTCCTAAAATATTGAATCTTTCATTGAATTAAGTCCTTTCAAAGTATTTTCTCAAAGAATGAGTATTTTAGACATATTTGCATATTCAGTTTTTTTTAAATCTTTGGATTTAAATTCATTTAAACTGCTTATAAGAAGAATTTTTACATGTATGAGGTGATAATTTCATTATTGGCTGTTGTGCAGCAGGTGTTTAATTATAATAGGAGGTGACTTTTGTATGAAGGTAGATAGTTTAAAGACACTCACCCTTAAAAGCACAGTGGTAGCTTCAGCCAGGCTGCATTTTCTATGAGTAACCCAGACAAGCCACTGAGGCACCCAATGAAATACCAGACGCAACAAACCAATAGTGATGATGATGAAAAAGTAAACAATGACACATTTTAACCTGCTTATTGTATATCCCTGTATTTCCTGAAATTATAAACCATTAAAAAACTAATTCTACAACTCAATTGTTGGCCATTTTAAAAAACAAATGTATATGAGCTATCAAATGAATAAATGTCACAGCTTCTAAATGTCATCACATAAATGTCCCCCCCCTAACCCTATGCTTACCCATCTACATGTATCCCCCAAGGGTTATCCATCTATCCCTATGCTTACCCACCCATCCCCAAGGCATGTCTACCTAACCTTAGGCTGATCACAAAACCCTATGCTTATCCACCTACCCTCAGTCTTATTCCCCTAACCCTATTTTTATCCACTTAACACTAGGTTTATCCACCTAACACTAGGTTTATCCACCTAATCCTAGGTTTATCAACCTAACCCCAGGCTTATCCACCTAACAATAGGCTTATCCACCTTACACCAGCCTGATCCACCTGACCCAAGGCTTATCCATCTCAGCCCAGGCTTATCCACCTTACACTAGGTTTATCCACATAACACTAGGTTTATCCACTTGACAACAGGCTTTTCTACCTAACCCAAGGCTTATCCAGATTACCCCAAGCTTATCCACCTAACACTATGGTTATCCACCTAACACTATGGTTATCCACCTTACACTAGGGTTATCCACCTTACCATAGACTAAGTAACATATATCTACATGTATATATAACCCTATCAGTCAATTTGCTATCAAGCCAATTTGTCAGCATGTCCAACATTTAACAGGCTCTACAAACTTAATAGTTTGTCATTACAAAATATATCATCTGCATTTTTTATGTAAATATATGCTTTATCTTAATGTATTGAATATAAAGGCAGATTTACAAAGGTGCTTTTACAGCAAGATCACATTTTGATTTTTTTTTAGCATTCAAGGCAAGTTAATTCAAGTTGGCAACATGTTTAAATATTACCTAATTTAAATGCAGTGAAATATTACTGTACAGAATGATGTACTTAATCATTCAAACATAGTACATAGAACTAAGATATATGCCTACAAAAATTTTTTCAAGGTTAAGTATACATGTACCCATTAAAAGTACAAACATAAAATTGAAATATCTAATTTCTGAATTATTGATCTTTAAAAGGGACATTCTACTGTAGGCTTATTTAAAATGTAACAACTTTAGCTATAAATATTAAATGTGCTAGAGTTATGAAAGAGATACCTCAACGAAGTTGGTGTGTTGCAAGCTTATATGAAAACCTCACTTGGGATTAAATTGCTTTTTTGGGCCAATTGTAGGGTAATATTCAAAATACATGTAGTACATGTATTTGAAGTCGAACATTTGAGGCTGTTACCTAATACAATACAATAATTTTTTTTTATGTATATACCATTTTACTGGCAAACATATCAATATAAATATATATGCAAAAAAGCAGGTGATACATAATATATGATGTATCTTACTTCAATTATTTAACTTTTACTCAGGGCTCATCCTGGGGGGAAATTTTAGGGAGAAGTGACTTCCTCGCGAAAATTAGGGAGAAGGGAAACAACCCAATGTGTATGCATTAACATGCATGGCTATACATCCTTTAAATATAATATAAACACAATTGACATCACTTATAATATTTCTCCAGTTAATTAATTAATAGTAGATTAATTAATAGTTGTATTAATTAAAAGTAGATTAATTAGTAGACTAGTAGTAGATCTGGCAATAGCATCTAAATGTTTTTGAGCTGCAAATATGAATATAAAAAAATTATTTTTGATATCTATTGATCAGCTATTTATAAACTTTCTCAAAATATGTGTTTATATATTTTCATGTACATTTGTTGATAATGATGTGTAAGAAAAGATGTGATGATAAAATCAATTTCATATTTCCTCACTTTTATTAGAAGATGAAGTCACCTTGGATATTGATTAATAAAATCTGTTCTATTCTGTTCTGGTAACAGAAATTTCTTTGAACGTTCTGAATGTTGTAATGTCAGATTTATATGCATATAATTATGCTTATAAAACAATTTTCAAACATCAAAGAATATGTAAAATATGTACTGCAAACATTTGTGCACATTATATTTGATCACTAAAATTACATACATTCATTTCTTATTGAAAAATTTGACTGAGAAATTGTAGAAAATTAATTTCTAATTACCTCCCTTTATTTTCATGAAATGTTAAATTCGGTAATATCTTTATAAATAATGCTTTTTAAAATTTACAAAATTGATAAATCTTAATCTGAGCGTCATATTTACGACATTAAAACAAATATGTATATTGAAACAATAACAACTCCTCTTCTTGACAAATTTTGTTGTTATATACGTTACATGATGCATGATATACGACCGATATGTAGTTTAGCCGGGATGTCTTGCCCACGTGCGTAAACTGTGTCAAATTTGGCATTTCTAAAAACAGAACAATGCCAAACACCCCCACTGTCTACAACATACCAATCGCAAGATTTTTGCGAAATGGTTTTCTTAAATTTTCGCGTTTGTGTATCAGAATCAGTAACTTTCTTTTAGTTTTACTGCTAGGTTTGGGCATTTCGCCCTGTAGCCATGACGTGAGCGACATAACAATTTTACAGTAAAAATTTGATGTTAACAGACTGAAATCATTCAAAACTATGATTAAGTTTTTAATCCGGTCGCTGATCATTAATGAAATTGATTATTTTTAATTGACTAACAGTTTTGTGATAGCCGTGAAAAATCCATTGCACATCGCCTTAACTCGGGTTAAAAACCCACCATCGAAGTGCATCGTGTATATCAATTAGGGAAGATTGCACGTATTTAGATAATCGGGGAAAAAACAATGTATAATTATCGCCAAATCCCGTATTAAACTCGCAAACTATCACACAATTATACCGTTTCGGGCCGATGCTCTCATTATTTACTGTTTAGAGTAGGCGGTCTATCGCTTCGCTTACAGGTAGAAGGTTAGTATAAAGCGACGCTCTGATTGGATAATGATAATTAGCGGTCGTCATATGGGCGGATACAATCTCTGCTCTTTACATCGCTAAGTAATTACTATTTGGAATTAAGATTTTATCGGCGATGTTGACTTCTCTTTGATCAATCGGAAGAGCGAAATTGGAATATACACGGCGAAGTTTTCGCCTGAATCGCCCTTCAGGATGAGCCCTGTTACTTGCAACTTGCCAAATTTTATTATAATGGACTTGTTAAGCTTATATTTTGGAACTGACCATGTCAATTTTGGATATATAAAAAATAGAAAAAAAATAAAGTTCATCAGTCAACAGTAAAGAGATTTAGATCAAATTGCATGAAAGTGCAGGTTCACCTGGCTGTAAGATACTATACTGGTGGCAAAGGCTTATAGTCATTTTTGTTCCCCAACAGGTTAAGCATTTGAGCCGTGTCACAACAAAACCAACATAGTGGGATTGCGACCAGCATGGATCCAGACCAGCCTGCACATTCGCGCAGTCTGTTCAGGATCCATGCTGTTCGCTATCAGTTTCTCTACTTGTAATAGTGTTGGTAAGCGAAGCAGCATGGATCCTGATCAGACTGCGCGAATGCTGGTCGCAAACCCATTATGTTGGTTTTGTCGTGACACGGCTCATTTATTAAACAACTTACAGCATTGATACTCATAGTAAACAAATGAAGAATGGAACAACAACTGTTGCCAGACATTCAAAAGTTTTCTTTTCAGGCTTGGCCTGTATATTACAACACATCATAAAATGATTCAAATTGACCATTGATGTCAACAACTAAACAGTGCAGTAACAGATGGAATAATACAGAACGAATAAAATAAAATCATTGAAAACAAAAACAAAGCATTGTTTATTTGTTACGTATATCAGAATGGACTGAGTGCATTGCTTTTATTTAATTTACAATTATACAAATTTTCAGGCTTTCCTATATTTGCCTACTTTTGATTGTAAATCGGGGCTTCTGTTACTGGAAGTTTGGGAAATCAATAGTCACAGCGGTCTGAGGGAAACAGTCACTTTACATGCAAATCCTGAACTGCAGTAGGTACTTCATTAATAGGGAATCATTTTAATTTCACAATTTAACATTACAGATGTGAGACATTCTTTTGAGTCCGAATTTGACATTGATTTATTATAAAAGGACTTGACAGTTAAAAATAAAGTATTTCAAAAAGATTACCATTTGGTCTTCTTCCCCTTGGTTCACATAACATTTTGTCGGGTCAACAGGAGGTGGTCCAGTCACAAACTTCCTCACCTTACATTTCTCCTTCAGATCTGCAAAATATATTACATAATCATTAATCATTTAATTTAAAACATCTTCCTTTTTTTTATCAATTGTAAACCTTATATTATATCTATATATAAACCTTTCTCCAGGTCAGGCCAATTTTCATAGATAAATTTAAATAGGGAATTTTTTCATTAAATTTTGGGGAAATGCAAAAGGGACAGTAACATAAACTTGATGGGAATAACAATTGTTACTGACAAGGTCAAATTAAGGTCAAGGTCAAGTTTGATTAAATCATCAATTAATCATTAAACAGTGAAGTAACTTAAAGAGTTTCAAGGCACTGACCATTTTTTCAACATAAGAATTTCTATTCACCTACCTGATAACGATTTAGTAAAAATCTGTTGTTTTAGATGAATACAAGTTCATGTGATTTGATGAAGAAATAAATTTAAGGTAATATAATGATTTGCCCCTCTGACCATTCACCCAACTTTAGTAACGATTCACTACACCTTATATCATTAATCAACATTTTTAATTCATTTGAATTGATAAATATTTGTGGTTTGGATATTTTTATGCATTTATATAATTATATACTTTTAAAGATAACATTTGATTTAGAGATAGAATAAGAAATATATCAGTTGTACAGAACTTACAATTACTAATCCGCGATAAGGATAACCTTTTTTAATTACAGTATTTTTTAACCGTTTTCTAATAAAATTCCAATCAAATGTGTGTAAATGTGTATGCCTAGATTGGTGATAATTGTATAATTTTCACATAATCATCCGTTTGTTACATATATACACTGTTGACAAGTTGTATTTTCTAGCTAACACATAATGCTATATTTTGTCATTTTCTAAAACTAGAAACTTATACTTATAAAGTAAATGAAGGCCTAAAACTAAAAAAAATTCAATACTTTAAGTTAGATCATGCTTAATACCGACCGAAAGAACTTGCTTTTTTCAGTAAATGCAATTAATATAATATCTATAAATCTTACTGGCACTTTTTAGAAGGAAAATGATTAAGACCATGGTGACATGATGATAACTGAATCATTACTGAACTCAGTGGGGTGAATCTGAACTGGGGCAAATCGTTATCAATTTTTATATTGATAACCTAACAAATAGTCATCAATTTCTGTCCTTAAAGTTAGATACACTGAGAACAATTTATTACACAAATGAGCCGCGTCATGACAAAACCAACATAATGGGTTTGCGACCAGCATGGATCCAGACCAGCCTGCACATCCGCGCAGTCTGATCAGGATCCATGCTGTTCGCTTATAAACCCTATAACAAGTAGAGAAACTGATAGCGAACAGCATGGATCCTGATCAGGCTGGTCTGGATCCATGCTGGTCGCAATCCCATTATGTTGGTTTTGTCATGACGCAGCTCAAATATAATAATCTTCATGATGATGTCTTAATTTTGATAACCTTATATACGTTTTAAATGTGAGGAGAATTTTTCAACTGTCACTTACAGGTGGTTAAAATTATTAAAATGCCTGATCTGGCTTATGTAAAATTCTTATCAGACATATGTCCAACAACTTCATTTTGCACAAAATTATTGTGCCACTACCTTCATTCTATATATTTGGATTTAACATTCTGTTTCTGTTTTTCAAAGAATTGTCTAAATATATATTTAGACAATTCTTTGACACTGAAAACTGAATGAAATGTATGCTGACAGGTGTTGGCACAGATTTCAACTAATTTTGGCCTAAAGACGTTTCGGCCAAAATTACCCACAATTATGTACAACTGTTGGGGGAGATAATGAATGTGAACTGAAAAATTTCCTTTTTTTTCAAAGTTAAAGGGGCATAAAAGTTAAAGGGGCATAACTCAAAAATCATCAAAGCATGACAAAATTGGAAGTTGACCTGCGCATTTCTTTGACATATATCCATATGTCAAATATGAGTTGAATGTGTAATACCCTAGAGGAGATAATGAACGGAAACTGAAAATGCATATTATTTTCAAAGTGAAAGGGGCATAACTCTGCCAAAAATCATTGAACCATGACCAAATTCAAACTTGACCTGCTCATTCCTTTGAGTTTTGACGTATCCATACGGAATTTTGAGTTGAATGTGTAATACTGTTGGGGAGATAATGAATGGAAACTGAAAATTTCATATTACTTTCAAAGTATAAGGGGCATAAATCTGCCAAAAATCATCTAACCATGACAAAATTTGAGCTTGATCTGTATTTTCTCATGACATATCCATATGCCAAATTTGAGTTGAATGTGTGCAACCGTTACTAAGATAATGAACAGAAACTGATGACGGAATGACGGAATAGGGTATCACTATATGCCCCAGCCATTATATGACGTGGGCATAAAAAACACTATAGTATACAGTATAGGGGGTATTATTGGATATTATCATGTAAATCAATGGTTATTTAATAACATTTCAAGTTCCTGTGCCTCACCCAACATGACCCACTAATAAACTTTGAGGCATTATATCGTCAATCTAACGTTCTGTGTTCAAAAATATAGACTGAAGTGTCCCAAATATATCTAACTACCTATATTAAAATACAGTAGCTTTTGTCCAGATCACGCAAATTTATTGAATTACAGCATGACATAAATATGTCACGGTTCTGGTTGACTTTGGATACGGGATTGGCTTCAGCGAACAGGTCTAGCATACTACAAAACCCGTTTGCTGAAGTCTCTTTAGTCCAAATATTTAGACGTAACCTCGGATTTGAAGCTATTTTTTACATGGGTAAAATCCACATTTTCCGATAAACGTCAAAATGTTAAAAAAAAGAAAATGCGATGTCTTTCAATGAAGGACTAAAGTCTCTTTAGCTGAGAGATATCAAATGTTTCCCCTCTTGGCTTTTTATAGGTTCATTCCGTTTTCTTTAGTGTGTTATATACAAGTTTTACTCCTGAAAAATACATAGGGGTCTAAACCAGGAGATTGCCGGCTATATCCTGGATTAGACCCCGGGGTCTAAACCAGGAGTATATATAAGGTTCATTCCGTTTTCTTTAGTGCAGAGATCTGCCGAGGACGCGATTTTGCGCCATTGGCGCTAAAAAAATGAGAATGGCGCAGGAAAATCGGCAGCAAAGGGCCATGGGCGCATCTAAAATCTGTGCCAGACTTATAAGAAAACAAAACTGTCTGCTGGGTTATTTAGTCATCCAGTCAAAACTGGTACCAACAGCAACATGTTACCCATGCTCCTGTAATTACGCATATTCTTTAGTTTATCCATTCCCCTATAGCTTTTGTCCATGTTGTCTACTTACCGCATTTCTTCTCATAATCCCTTTCCCACACAGATACTCATTTCTACTACCGTAAATTTAATCCAATAAAACAAACAAACACATTATACAACTACTTAATATTTAAAATGATTATCGGTAACTGAAAAAAAAGTGTTGCTATTTTAAGAAATACTCTAAGTTACAGTATAATCTGACAGGTGTTCAACTTGATCAACCCTAAGGTCACTAAAGTTCACGCAAGTTTTGGCTGATGAAGTGTAAAAAAAGATGTATATTTCGTCATCAGAATGTTTGACAGGGTGATTAACCAATCAGAGAAACATTGTGCATGACTTTTTTCATGATCAAAAGGTCTGTCGGCAAATGTCTTTGATGTATGCTGTCTACACAGAGGCATACAAGGGGCAATGAAATTCGTCAATATACAGTGGTAAGGGACATTTGGTGCAAAGTAGGAACAATTAAATGGATAATGCACAATATAAAACATTACAAGTAAGAACCAGCAATTATGTGAATAAATTTGCATATCAAATTTTTGAGCAGCCATTAAAAAAATATTTTCATTTTTGCCTGCAATTAATATTAGTTAGAAAGTTACCATGTAGGCATAATTTTTAATTATTGGTAAAGTACTGAATTATAAGTGAACCACTTGTCATAAAATATGATTTAAGTTTTATTACCTGTGAAATTCAATTACATGTATCTACAAACTTTTTAACAGTTATTTTGGTCAATGTTTACTTATTTTCCCAAGGCCCATACTTTGGTAAAATGGCCCATCATTTTCAGACCAAGTGGGCCCAGGGCCCAGTACTTTCAAATTCTTGGCAGATCTCTGTTAGTGTATTATATACAAGTTTTACTCCTGAAAAATACATAGGGGTCTAAACCAGGAGATTGCCACATATAATGTACACTGACAGTACACACCACGCAGCTATGCTTTTTAAGAACTAATTAATACAGAAAAAATATAAAGGTTCGAACCAACAATGGGACGAGTTGATCAGTTGCTGTGTTATTTATTAGGAAAATTATAGTCGACTTTTAGCAAATAATATATAGATCTAATAGAATCAACAATTATTAAGAATAAATGTTAAAAAAATAAATACCAGTGTCGGCTGCCATTATTATCTCTTTATTTTTTTCCTAGGATTTTACAGATCAAAGTGTAAACAGAACCATGCCTTAGCCTTATTGGGAAATGCGAATCTGATTGGATACATTCGGAACATTTGACTGATTATTCATAAGTTTGGTGATTCGCCCCATTGTCGATTCGCTCCACTTAACGCCAGTTGTCATTTTCTTTACGCTACTTTACGCCACTTTATGTATTTTAGGTACACCTTCTATGTTACCATAAATTAATAAAACCGTAAAACAAGCTATATATAAACTGTTGTCAGTATCAGTTGACTTGTAGTATTTTTAAATATTTCTTTCACCCTTGCTTATAAAAACATTTTAACAATGACTAGAAGTTTTTAATGTATCTCACTGTCCTGATCATGTTCATATTCAGGTTTTTACTTTCTCTCACACCTTTCACTTACACACCCGACGCGTATATTATATACAGTATATTTTTTTAGAATTACTTTTATACACTATCCCAACACTGTGCTGGGTCCCTGTGGGCCATAAATTAAGGTTTGCACAGCTTTTAAAAAATTTATGAGGTTGAAAAATATTAAAAATTTGATGTTGTCATTGTGTCATTTTTTATTGCTGAAGTAAAAGTTTAGGGTATTTTGCAAGTTTGCCAGAAATAATTTCAAACAAGATGACATTTATTTCGGTAATGATAAGTACTGTATTTCCTTGGTAACGTAGTTTTCAGATCTAATAATGTAACATATTGGCTGCATATAAATAACAAATATCTGTAAAATATATCAAAATCTGTAAATTCTCTATCTAGAGGGACTTTCTAACCCAGGAAAATTCAAGGAAGTTGGGCACCTTGCTAATTTTCAGTTAATTTCTTCAAAGTTAAATATTCGTAGAAAACAAAAAGAGTCAATTTTGGAAATTATTATTTTATGTCTTCATTCAAAGGATAGATATCATATATAAAAAATGAGAGGTAGAATGCATACACAAATGTTGTATTTAGCACTTTTTCTCAAAACATTCAACTTTCAACTTTTTTCATATATGGGTAATTTGTTGCTAAGCAGTTTTATATTTATCCCCATATAGGATGGCACGTATGTTTCATTTTATTCAAATACAAGTAAAGGTTAAGAAAACAATTTAATTTTTTATAAAATAATTTGTATCTATGGATATTATTTTAACGTTATTACATAGTATCTACATATACATTAGAATGAAATACGGCCTATAAGCTCTTTGCAGATCTAATCAGTTGTTGCTGAGAACTTCAATATCTTGTAATATATTTTTAACATTTATGCTGGTACATCAACATATCATTAACATATATCTTTCCTTTGCAAAAACACTTTTGTATCTTCTTACATCTAATACAAGGTAACCGTTACTAACAGGCATGCTAATCCCAATTTTATCTTTAATTTTCAAAAATTGTTGAATTGTAAGTTGGAGTAACTATGTTTCACACTTGCTTATTTTAATATGAAATTTATCACGGAATTGAAACTTACATGTGAAATCGACTGTTTTATTTAGGAATCAAATACACATCATTCTATTGTCATAAAAATGTGATTTTATGTTTTTATATGTGCACGTGTAAACAATATAAAGTCTGTTTGATAAAAGTAACGTTTGTTTCACTGTGGTTACTTAAACAAGTTAAAACTCGACCAAAGTTAACAAAATTTACTTACTAATGTCAAATTGAAGTAAGTGTTGCTGTTATACGTGCTTTCTGAATTCAATTTCCCTTTTGATAAAATTACTTTAAAAAGTTGGTAACGTATGTTTCTGTAACGTATGTTTCATTTTTTATATTGAAAGTGGGTTGATTAATGATGCAAGAGCGTATAACTCGCCATAGTTTGTGGTTTATATATCAGAGTAACACATATGTTAATTTTCTTTCTGTTTGGAGTCTTCTTTGAATGGATTGGCTCTAAAACAATGGTAACGTATGATTCTTTTTAAAATGCTGTTGAAAAGATTTGAATAAAAATTAAAAAATCCGAAAATATAATGATATTTGAGAGGCTGCAAGCTTATTTTAACTTATAATTATGTATATGCTGTATTATTTAGCATGCATCGATTCAATTATGTAATTTCTGTTTCACATCTAATTGTTTTAGGTTTAACCAGGTTTAGATTAACCTGTCCGTGCTCTGTCTTTGCCCTGTCCTGTTTTTGTTTGGGGTCCGCCTGGGCTCCTTGCCATTGTTCTTGTTGCTGGGTCATATGGGGGTTGCGTTCATTGAGCGCCGCCTTTCCTTGTTGATCTTGTTTATCATATTTTGTCACTATTTATTTATATGCATTTGGCGACATTTGATCATCCATGCATTATATCAATGAGATTTTAACAGTCAAATATAATTTTTACCAATAATCAAACTGCATATACACGCAACAATGACTTATTGCACATGTTTCGTTTATTCAGGAACTTATTTTTTCTAAAACACAACTTCAAAGTTAAAAATTCTAGGTGGCGACAGTAACGTATGTTACATTTTAGGGCATTAATAGTACTTGTAAAACAAAAATAACATATAGAAACGTAAACCTGAGAGAGTCCCTATTAGACAAAGTGGCAGCCACCTTTCTAACGACGTTTTGACCATAAGAAAAACCTTCGTATAAGAGCTACCCAGTGGAACATCAAATGCTGTGTTTTATTGAGAATGAGCGTATAGCCATAATTTCATGAAATTTAACTGCATGCTCCTGGTTGACTTGTGTTAAATTCTCCACAATTTTGATTCTTTAATTGACGAGTTAGTATATATTAGAAACGTGACCTGTCTTAATAAAGATGATGTCTGTTTAGTGAATTAATATACCTGTATACATTGTATATTAATTATTTCTTCGTTTTCACATTGTAATTTTAAGTAATTAAACAAACTATATTCCTCTATACAGCTAAAATGGCATGAATGGCATATATAAAAATATCACAATTACGGTAATTGTTTGAAGTATATACATGTATTAACATTAGCGCAAAGGAAAATATGTTTTATATATGAGATTTTCTCAAACCATTCCCATTAGCTTACGCTACTTATTTTATACTTAAAATTTTATGGGTCAATACTTATAATTTAGATTAATCAACAATCCGCCTTATGCCGTGTGCATATGATTAATTCATACATATTTAACTAGTAATTTAAATATCTGTTCAATATGAAAATGCTTATATAAACGACATGTTTATGATAATAATGATACCAAAAAATATATATAAAGAATTCAAAAGCAATATTTAATTTGAAAATATACATGGTCCGCCTCGTCTCGAGACACGGTCCGCCCTGTCCTAAAATATGGTCCGCCCCGTCCAAACATACGCCCTTGAGTCTTCAATTTTCAGGTAATTTTGTTGTGATTAATGCTTCCGATGGAACATACTTCCAGATTCTTTTACGTTTAATACAATCTAAGCTACAAAAATTAAAACTAAAAGAACTTGCAATTCACAAAATCATTCATAAACAAGGACCAACATATCTACATGATCTTGTTAATATAAAACACATTCTTTCATTTTATGTATAATAATTAATATGTAGCCATCAACCCTCAGGTCCTTTGCACCAAAACTTTTGAATTCACTGTCCCAATACCCCAGACTGGATGTGAATTATGATCAGTTTAAAAGCTTAATTACTGCATTGAATGGAGACATTTGCTCTGTCAATAAACATGCATTTAGTTCAACCCACCTCTATTTTTGTTTTCCGTTTGCTTTCGTTTATTTACTATACAATTAAATATGACATGAATATATTATTTTGTAAATGTTGTTTGTCAAAAGTATGTTAAATCATTAAAAGTTGTAAAATTGAAATGTTGACTTTAAAGTTAATAATAATTTTATTGTTTAGCTGAATAATTTTTACTTTTTATAAAATATGTAGATAAAATTAATCATAAAAATATATCAATATACATAATGTTTAAAGTTAATAATAATTTTATTGTTTAGCTGAATAATTTTTACATTTTATAGAATATGTAGATAAAATAAATCATAAAAAAGGTCAATATACATAATGTGTTATTTTTGATTGACAGTGTGTATTTATTTTCTAATTGAAAGACCCTGCTGGAACGTACTACATCAGTAAAGTAACAGTCACTTAACCAAAGAAAAACATTGTCTCTGATAACTTTTCAGTAAGCTGTCACTAGAAGGGGGTCATATAAACCCTAAGATCCAAAAAGTTTCACAAGAACATGCTTAATTGAGATGTGCGTCCATACCCCCATTGTGACTGCTTTACTACGGTAAATTGATATCAAAATTGAAAAATGGCATTATAAATATATAGGTTCAAATTGTTTATTACCATTTATCTGAAGTCGTGTTATTCAAAATTTCTTCAAAATACATAATTGGTTATATTTTAACATTGTATGACAATCTTTATGTGGTACATTACATATTTTCTTAACTGATTGTAAAGTGGCAGTGAAATTTTGAAGAACAGGAAAATGGGTCAGTAGTGGTTTGTCTACGATACATACTAATAATTCAGGTAAAATTTCAAAAAGTTGTATTTATTAGCTGAAATAATGATATTTGCAGAATTGTATTTTTTATAATTTTACTGTCAGTTATTGTAGAAAAATCTGTTAGCTGATCGGAAAGTGGCAGTACTAGGGGGGTATAAATCTACCTATTATTCATTACTTACTTTTTGTTAGATTATTGTGTACATTCGGCACTTACTAAAAAAACACTCAAAATTTCCTTAAAAATTCTTGCAATATTAGAGAATTCTAAGCACACCCGTTGTCGCCTAAAATATCTCCGTTGCATATTTTAGGCATACCAAAATTTAGCGGTGTCATACCAAAGAGAATCTGCAATCGGAACATCTCGGCTATTTTTTAAATCAAAGAGCCGAGAAGTTGCGTTCGTCGGAAGTTACTTTCATTTCAATTCAACACTGTTCAAGGTATCCAACTCAAAAATAATCATGTTTTATAACTTTGTTAGGACTTTTTATAGACGATTTCCAAGTTTCAGCTGCCTTTCGAAAATCTATATAGTATATATGCATTATATAAACACTCTATGTGATAAAAGGATGATAAACCTGGAATAATTCGTCCCGTAGACGATTCGCAACTAAAAGTGACCTTTCGTCTCGCTTCATATTGACCAATTTGAAAACCTTATTAATTAAATTTGACATCATTTTATGTGAAAAAGAATGTTTATATGAAATTTTCTTATTTACAGGTGTACATAACTTTGCCACAGCCCGGCCACCACAGCCCGGCCACAGACACTTGGAGTATGGACCCCGCCCTTTTCCGCCCCTGAATATTAAAAACTAAAAGTATTGTTTATTACAAGAATAAGTTTTAAATTTGTGCTTATATTAGTATGAGACGGTTAAGTGTCTAACACATGAACAAGTTTGAATAGAATTTCATAACGTTTTAAAAAAGTCAATTTTTTTCCAACGCTTCAATTTCCTGAAGATACCAAGCTTCGAAATGTAAACACAACTGACCTACATATATTTCAGGTATTTATGTTATCGCATGCCATTTATTTCTGGTGTAAATCAGTCGATGCATATATTCCTTTAATGAATAACTGCATGTTATTATCAGATCGTACCTTTCTTCCAAGCTTTGCACATTTAATTATATTTTCATAACTGAGTCACATGCTTCTTTACGAATTCATGACCACTGGAATGTTTCCCGTAAATTACAGCGGGAAAATCGCTGGGAAAAAGAAATTCAATCGCAACTACTCGGCCCTTTCCGTCAGTCTTCTTGATTTGGTTTCTGTACTGATTAGGGGAAGTAACCGCTGCGGGGTTTTGGTTCTCGGCATGAAAATGAAAGCGCAAAACAGTGCCGAAACTCATTCCAGTCATCTCACATCAAAGGAAAGCGTACGTTGTTATCTTCATGAAATTATGATATTCTAGGGACTTTTTTAAACGTGGTTAAAATAGCGGAAAACATGTTTTATGTTCAAGACATGTGACCAGGTCGTAATAATATGCAAAAATATTTTGACTTACGGTTTGCACGATAAAAATAGGCATGGTGTATACAAGTGCGGATCAAGAAGGGGAGCCACGCACATAACCCCATGCGTCTGTGAGCCCGGCCACCACAGCCCAGGCATTGAAATTACAGCCTGCCCACTCATTTTTTAAATAAAGGGTACATGTAACCCCTGTCTCTGCAAACTGGGGTTACATCTAAAAAATCTAAAAATACATCAAAACTAAGTCATTGATAGTAAGGCTTGTATTAGTTCAGTATGCAATGCAGATGTTGGCTGTTTATGAAAATAGACATTTTCTAACATATATTCATTCACGTATGGAAGTGGCTAGCCGTACGGGCCCGTACGGCTAGCCAAAAGTTCTAGCCGTACGTGAGTCACGTACGACTAGCCTGGACACACTGTATTGGCTAGCCGTACGGCACTTTTCAAAATTATATAGAAGTCGAAAATGCATATGTTATTTTGTGTCTTGAAACGACGATTTTAATCAAATCTCCGCATTTGTCCTAGTGTGTTCACTTTAATAAAGATGCTCCGCAATTTTGCAAATGAATTGTTAAATCTGTTAATTAAGCACATGGATAGAATAAATAATGATCGGAGGGGAATAAATAAATAAATAAAAAGAATATTAAAAAAAACGGTGAAAAGGAAAAATAATTTAATAATGCAAACTTTCCTTAATGATGGACGATGAACAAACTTCTATACAGTACCGTCGGTATTTGACGCAATTATCAGAGCCCGACAACAATTATTTTCGGTGGTTTTTAATTGTTGTTGTTTTTTGTTTTTTTTTTTTTCAATTTAAAAATTAAACTTAATGAAACAAAAAAAAATGATTATTATCAAAATTCTGTAAACTATTTCAATTGATGTTATTTAACTGCAACCAAACGCTATTTTTTCTCGACGTCTTGTGATGACAAAGTACGTACATTCTTTACTGTAGCCAACAGTCGATTAATCTCTAAAAAGTAAACATTCTTGACTAAAATCCTCGCTTAAAGTCATAATTAACATATGCACGTTCGCCTTCCATATATTTTTGAAAAGTACCGTACGGCTAGTCGTACGTGACTCACGTACGGCTAGAACTTTTGGCTAGCCGTACGGGCCCGTACGGCTAGCCACTTCCTTCACGTATACGCAATGCAATTTATCCTATATCACATACACTTTTTTCAGCATATAAATTGGCCGATCATTATTCTTAGACAGAATTATAATGTTACAAAAATTATAGCCTATAGGTCTAACCGTCTTATAAGGAGAGATGAAACTGGACAACAAACCTTTGGACGATTTAACGAATGATAAAATATTTTTCTGCATTTTGCAGACCGCTAGTCTATGATAATCATACGACGCATATGACGGAGGTTGAGACTAAAACATTTACCAAATTTAGACCGTCCCAAACATTCGTCAATTACATTGCCGATTTCACGGTGTAAAATTGGAGTTTTAAAATTGTGCATGCATGTACCCTTTCCATGTGATTTTTGTGCGTGCATCCAGTATTTTGTACGTGAAACACGCACTGAAGTGCGTGAATGGGCATGCTGAATTATCCTTTTCTTTGATTCCACACTCTGTTAAAAAATGCCTGGCCGACAAACTTTTTCTCCATCAGAATTATTGATTTTGTTATTTTATGGAATGACTTGCTAGAAAATGTGGTATAAGTGCAAACAGTTGATACTTTCTAGACCAGGTCAGACAATCATTGGAAAGAAATCAACACATAGCCTATGGTAGACTAGTATGGGACATTAGATGATTTTGCATTATATCTTTGAATTAGTAACAATTTGCAACAGTAATGATTTGCCACATAACCATTTGCCACAGTGAAATAACGATTTGCCACAGTTAAATAAGGATTTGCCACAGTATGATGATAACAATAATATTCTCAGTTTGACTGGTCCTAGTTCAGTTAAATCAACATTTTAAAAAAAAAATTTGACAATGACAATAGTAAGGTTTCTTAATATTAGTTATGTGAATTAGGTTCAGTTGCGTGGATTTTCAATTTATCTAAGTAACATAATTACAGGAGTACATCGACGAGAAAGTAATTTAATGTTGAGATAAATATTGAATTAAACATATACATATAATATAATGTCAATTAATATTTTTATCAATGGAAATACATGTCAAATATTAAAAAATGGGAATTGCAAAAATACATGTATTCATTACGAAAAGTGATTAAAGAACGCATATCTAAAACATTTGTCACACATTTAATTTAAACAAGCCAATCATCTTAGGATTGATATACAAATATTAAATTGATGCCGAAATATAGTCCTTTTATTGTCTAACAATAAAGTCCAGTCAAATTAAAGCCCGAAAATCTAGCTAACCTGAAGAACTAATTGCAAAAGTTTTTGTTTTAGTATTTTATGATGGTACAAATTATCTGCTTGATATTAGGAAAAAAGTTGCACTCTTTTGCTGAAGGGGAAGTGCGATCATTCTAGCTTTCAAGTTGACACCCTGAAATCTCAGTTATGCATACATGTGAACTCTCCCACTTTTAGCGGGAGACTCCCACTTTCTGCAGCCATATTTTCAAAGAATTTTCTTAAAATAAGGTTTTTTTTTCCACAAATTAAAGAAATCTCCCTTTTTTTTAATATCAGATCTTTTTTTCTTTGTTTATTGCAAATTCTAAAATCTCCCTATTTTTGAAGAAAAATATCCCACTTGATCATCAAAAAAAGTTCACATGTATGGTCATAAAATCAGTGTAATTTGTTAATTTCCGATGATACTAAAAAACACTTCCATACATGTATATGTTAAACATATTTATTACATGCAAACTTCATACAAACAAATTTCTGTCTCTACAATTTAATTTGAGCGATATATGCCAATTAAGAAGATTTAAATACACCAGCATGCACAGCTGAAACAGGACGAGTCTACTTAAGTTTTTGTCACTTTGTCTTTTTAACAATGTGTTTTGTAATTTTGGTAATAAAATATGTTCCTTTTCGTGCTTTTTTTTTATTCAATAAAATCTGTATTTAGTATATATTTTATTTTTTTGGTTTTATTATTGACAAATGTTAACTAATTTAAAATAATTGTGTTTTGGTAATAAAATAATTATGTTTGTTTTCATATTTTTTATTCAATAAAAGCTGTATTTAGTATAATTTTCCAGGTTATATTATTAACAATTGTTAACTAATTTACAATGTGTTTTGGAATTTTGGAAACTTCTGGCAGCAACAGCTTTGTTGCTGTTCATTTCATATTGTTACTGTTTTGTTGTTCCCAAAGTGCTAAAGAACAAAAGTAGCGACAGCAAATATTAGTCTCTACATGCTCTAGGTATTGAGAGTTATGTGTAGGATAATGGTGTTGTAATTAGGTGGTGCTAGCCTAGGTGCACATTTAAGGATAAAGACGACCCAAATAGTTGGCGATTATAAGGACCGTGACAGAGTTGAACTGACCTTGCAACTTTGCAGTTTCTATATCATTCTTGAAACCTGTAAAATGGTCAATTTTAAGATATCTTCTTTGTTGTGAAAACAAAATACAATTCCATGACAGATGCAATTTTTATGTATATCACTTTAATTAACATATCAAAATTGATCATTTTGTAAAAGAGTTTTATATTCCAATATGTTACCTCTTTCATAACATTATACAATTTCTATTTTGATATAGAATGCAACAGATGATGGGTGACTTTGAGCTATTAAATGATGTACCTGGATCTAAAGCTATCCTTAAAGTTGTGCTGAAAAGCCAGATACAGTTGCTTGTAAGTAAAGATCCACTATTTATATTGTAACGTTTAAAGGCACACAAACCCTGTCGGAGATAAGCTAGCTTATCACCAAGAGTAATTTTTACATTGCAGATGGCACTTATAATCCATGTAAATTACCAAAAACAGCCTGAACTTAACTGCATTAGTCATGCTGTAGATATATGGTGTAAAAGTCTGCTAATTGATTGTAATTGAGAAGTAAACAAATTGTTAACAGACCTAGTGTCATAAAAAGGTATGAAAGATCACTTAAAAATCGGGCGACTTCATAATGGCTTTGAAGTTTGTTTTAGGCGATGTTGTTGATCCGAAGGCGACTTGTTCCCAAGTTATCCCTTAGCTCAAGCCCTAATTAATCACACCTGACACATAAATTAATACTTGAATCATGAAATTATTACTATTTTTTAAATATTAAGACATTTTTTCTGTGGAATTTAAAAAAAATATTTTGGCTCATCTGGAGGCATGTAGCTTTAAAGAAGTTTATAATGATTTGGTATATTTTCAGATAGATCAATTATGCAAGTATACAGGTGAAGAATCATTTATTCTGACAGCAAATGCTAGCGACGGAGCTCAATCACTTTTAGGATCAAGTACTGGGAAAGGTTTTCTGGACAACCGTAGTGAAATTAAGACTCAATTCTTAAGCTTTTGCCTTAAATGTAAGTCTGTAAATTCGCAAAACGCTTGATAATTAGAAGTAAATTGGGGCTATAATACTCTCTATCTAACACATATTGTTTGCAGAATATTTCATCTCTAAGATTATTTAACTCTAAAATTTATTTCTTTTGCGAACTTTTTCTCGTTCTGAACTTAAAATTTCATGAAAAGTGTATTTACATCACCATTAAAGCTATTCATTTGAAACTTAGTTAACACATATGTTTTAGTTAATAATTGTAGGTAAGTGACTTTGATTTTCTCAGCATTGGCGTTAGTTTACAGGGATTTTTTTGGCTTATTTTATAGCCGTTATTGGGTCATATTCCCAATTGAAAATAGTATATTATTTTCCCAATCCACGGAAAAAATCCCAATTGAAAGTTACAAAATAAAAATATTGAATAAAAAATTCTAAAATCTTTGAAAATAAGGGCTTCTTCACTTTTTAACCAGGTTTTCCGAAGGAAAAATCTGGTTATAAGATTGAGGTATGTCGGCGGGCGGGCGGATGGGCGGACGGGCGTAAACAATTTCTTCTGTGCGCAACTCCTCCTACATTTCTCAACGGATTTTGACCAAACTTTCACAGAAGCTTTGTCATCAAGTGTCCTGATGCATACTTTTGGGGTTTTGTGATTGGATAATTTTTGCCCTAATTATGGCCCTTTGTTTTTTTCCTTATACAGAATATAATAATAGTGAACAATTTCTTCTGTGCGCAACTCCTCCAACATTTCTCAAAGGATTTTGTTCAAACTTTCACAGAAGCTTTGTCATCAAGTGTCCTGAGGCATACTGTTGGGGTTTTGTGATTGGATAATTTTTGACCTAATTATGGCCCTTTGTTTTTTTTTCTTATACAGAATATATAGTGAACAATTTCTTCTGTGCACAACTCCTCCTACATTTCTCAAGGGATTTTGTTCAAACTTTCACAGAAGCTTTATCCAGTGCCGTGATGCATATTCTTAGGTTTTTGTGATTGGATAATTTTTGACCTAATTATGGCCCTTTGTTTTTTCCCTTATATAGAGTATATAGTGAACAATTTCTTCTGTTGCCCAACTGCTTTTACATTTCTAAAAGGATTTTGTTCAAATTTTCACAGATTAGCTTTATCTTCAAGTGCCCTGCTGTGTATTGTCAGGGTTTTATGATTGGATAAGTTTTTACCTTTTACCTTATTATGGCCCTTTGTTTCTCCATAAAATTTAATTATTAGTGTAATATATCCCATTAATCACAACAAACTTTATTTAGTTATAAAACAGAAACTATCTAGGTTGTTGCATGCCTGCCAGCTCATCTGCCTGCTTTTGGGTCCTGTAGAGTCAAAGTCAAGGTCATTGTTGCTAAAAATAGAAAATCTGTTTCCAGTCAGGTCACTGTTACTAAAAATAGAAAATAGGTTTCCGGTCAATAACTTGTTTGGAATAAGATATTTTTATGAAATTAGTTACATTGTTTGTTGCTTTTATTTGTATTTCAACTACAACATATTTATCTACTATGGTGATAATTGAAAACCTGGTTTCATGGCATTGCCATATTTCTTGTATAGTACTTAAATGTTTGAAGATGCCATCCTAAACTGTAATTGTTTGCATTCATTTAATGACTGTAAAATTTCAGTCATGCATTTTTTCCCAATTTCTAACAAAATACAGCTGAAATTCTCAATTCCATGGGTATGGGTCATGTTCCCAAAATCCTGAAAAAAAATCCCTGGTTTAAAATTATTTAATATATTTTCTATTTATATATTTAGAGTGCTCAGTTTTACTCTTCTTTAGCTCAGTTACTGAGACAAAGACTAATCATTAATTTTAAACCTTACAATGCTAAATATCTCATCTTTCAATCTTGACTTAACCATTCAACATTTTTGGGGAAAATTTAAAAAAAACTGTCCATATGGATGTGCCATCTTATTTTGGTGTGCACTGTTTGCTCTTCTATCAGTTCATATTTCCCTTGTAACCTCCTCCGTGGTCGAGGGGTTAGAGTCGATGACTTCTAATCCAGTTACCTCTCTGGCTGGGTTTGATCCCCGGGAGATGCTTTGGTAGTTTAGCACAGAGGAAGGTAGTCTAGTACTGGTGTAACTCTCCAGGAACGATGGTTAGGAAACTACCCGCCTATATGACTGAAATACTGTTGGGAAAAAGGTGTAAAATGAAACAAACAACAAACATATTTCCCTTGGTGGTGAGGGTTTGCCTTTATGGGTTGAGGCATCAGAATAGCAACCATCATTTATCCCTGCTTGATTGTAAGAGGCGACTAAATGGGTCAGAATTATTGGAGTTTAATGCATCCTCTTAGCTCCAACAGATGAGGTGGTTTTGAACCCTGGTTAAAGTTTGTATCACCCGAGTTAGCCAAAATCACCTATCCTGTTTCAGCACCATATCACCTAAACTGTGATGGTTCACCATAAAAACCAAACAAAAAAGCAAACAAACCATACAGTCAGATATTGATCTGCACTGCTTAGGTAGATTCACCTTTTAAAGTCGACAATCACTCTTTTTGCCAGCAGTTTGATGATCAATTAATGCTAATGAATTTATGTGTAATTGATGCATTTGGTTGATTTGGAAATTTTATATACTTTGTAGCTCTTCACAACACAGAGGAGAACTTCTCACAGCACGAGTTTTCACGCTCTAAATTTAGAACCCATCCATATACAAGAAAGAAATCTCCGTCAAGGCACAATTCTTTCGCCTATGAAAAAAGAAGGGACTTTTGTACTGGAGAGCAAGTAGCAAATGCTGAAACGATACAAATGACCAATTCTAGTGCAACAGATAACAGCTCAGGACTGAATTATCAAGCAAATGTTTCGGAAACAGAAATTTCATCTGTACAAGAAAGACACCAAAGAAAAGGTCTAAAATTCCCCCATAATATTGCCAGTTTTCAACATTCTGGCATGAATTTTGACAACAGTTTCTCAGATAATTTATATTCAGATAGTTCTCAAGCTCCTGATGACACAGATCGTAATCTTGATCACAGGAATGATTGTGTAATAGTTAAAACAGAACAAGATTTAGATGATGTAGAAGTGCTTGGAGTTGAGTTAGCTACACAACAGTATGGAGATGAACAGTTTGGAGGACAGTTTAGTTCTGACAGTAATCAGACAGCTACTAGTCATGATGATACAGGTATGTCAAGGTCATCTCGAAAGGTCATCTCAAAAGGTCATCTCAAAAGGTCAAGATTATTCAAGTCTAGAAAGATTTGACCTTGTGACCACTTGTCCCTCATTGCTGTGTGTGTTCAAATCATGCCCGAGACTTTGGATTTTTTCCTGTGAGAAAGCAATCTAGTTACTGTTAGCTTACAGAATGTAAACAGTTTTACTGAATAGCCTGCTTGTGCCTTACATAATGCAGTAAGGGGCATCTGAGGTCTTCTTCCAGTGAGGTTGAAAGTTGCCTTGTGACCTTTAGTGTTTCTATGGCTTTAAAGAGGCCTTATTCAGTTGCATACTAAGGAGCAATTTTATATAGGCAACATTTTTGTAATAAAAATGCATATTTCAGGCCATTTATTCCCACAGACTTTATGACTGATACATTTAATACTAGAATAGCATTATTTTCTATTTGTATTGTACATACCTGTACATTTATGATATTCTTCGAAATGTCAAAATAAAGAAGCAAAATTTACGTATGGCGGCATTTATTTTGCCTGTTATTCCATTTAGTTATGATATTCTTTTCATCAGCATTCAGCATTCAGATATATAGTCCGGCTACAGTGAAAATTATATTTGTGGTTTATCAGAACATAAGTCCAATTTTAAGAGGCAGATTTTCCATAAGTATTAAATATGTTGATGGCAAACAATAGAAATGTATCATTTGGATATAATTATTAAATATTTCTTGAAAATACATGTATGTTGGTTCTAATTTATAATAGTTGCTTATATTACCCGATCCACTTTGTGAAAGTTATATTGATGCAGAATTACAATACATGTATACAATGTACTATGCTCATATATTTTTTACTGTTTTTACAGCTATGAAAAGTACTTCAGATACTGCAGGATATCTAGAGGCACCAAATGCCGACATCAATTTTATTGATGGGCCGGAATCTAAACATTACTATCCATGTGGATTCTGTGGCAGAGTATTCCAACATAATTCGTGGTTAACACGGCATATACGCGGCCATACTGGCGAGAAACCTTACGAGTGTCGTGTATGCGGAAAAAGATTTACACGATCGGGGACAATGAAAGTTCATACACTTATGCATAACATAAAATGATATTCAGAGATTTATTAGAGTCTTTACATAGAAAATTGTGACAATTTTAAAGCAATGAATATTCAATTTTTTGGTTGGCTATTTGAAAACAGTTGGTACTAATATACGCAAATTGCCTTTAAAGGGACTCCAATGAGGTTTCCTTGACAGGAGACAGGATCTTTTTGTTTGAGATTTGTGTACCATTTGATGTAGGTCTTGACCAATGACTTGTGCGCAAATTTTAGCTCATTGGCCCCATTTTCCATAATAATCATTTTTCAGATGCAAAATGACCCAAAATATGAATAACATTTTAATGCCTTGAGTTGTAATTGGGGTTAGATTTTAACAAATTGATTTTCAGTTCAAATTTGAGTGTAAATCTTTTATTTCCTTATTATCTTTTGTAAATATTTAGTGTTTAAGTGCAGCATTAAATCATTTTATGTTTTTTAAAATTCAATTTGATTTAGGATTAGGACCTCAGTCATGTCAGTGAAGTTCCTTTAATGAACACTTTTGTCAAGGTTTTTCATGCGCTATCTGAAAAAGTTCATGGACTGACATTTTGTGTGTTTTTCCCTCCACAAATACAGCTTGACATTTGTCATTATTATGAGCTTTACAGTGCAGGTATTCATGAGTGTGATACATTATATATATATTCGTATATAATAAGTCTAACATATAACATTTAAAATTACATGTTACACTCAAACTATTCACTGAATAAAGTTGATCTGAAATTAAAGGAATATTGGTTTCTACATGTTCTACATGTATGTTAAATTTCAGTCATATTTTTTTTATGTATTTTTTAACTGGTAATAAAACATGTTGATGAGGGATATCAATGTGCAATTATAAATGATTGTTGTTTTATTATTTTGTAGCTCAACTTTTTTTTTTGAAAAAAAAAAAGTAGAGGTATTGCTATAGTCGCGGCGGCGTTGCCATTGCCGTTGCTGTCCGCAAACTTGTACCTGGATCATAACTTTTTTATTTCTTGGTGTATTGTCTTCATACTTGGCCACAACAACTCTTGGGACAAGACCTTTCAGTAGATTACACTAACCTTGACCTTCATCCATAAATGACCTTGACCTTCAAGGTTAAAAGTCCAAATTTTGCTTGTTCATGCTGTTATTAGCTGTAACTTTGTTATTTTTGAATGGATTGTCTTCAAACTTGAACATAATAATCTTCAAGGATATCCCTTAAAAATAACCAGACAGACCTTGACCTTCACTCATAAATGACCTTGACTTTGAAGGTCAAATTATTGAAATTTTCATTTTTTGGCTATTATTGGCTGTAACTTTGTTATTTTTGAATGGATTGTTTTCAAACTTGAACATAATAATCTTCAAGGATAGCCCTTAAAAATAACCGGACAGACCTTGACCTTCACTCATTATTGACCTTGACTTTGAAGTTCAAATTATTGAAATTTTCATTGTTTTGGCTGTAACTGGCTGTAACTTTGCTATTATTGAAAGGATCAACTTCATATTATAACAGAACATACTTAAGGACAAGACCTTGTCACCACCACATGTCACCATCACGTGACACCACCACCATGTGTCACCACCACGTGACAACACCACTTGACTCCAGCACATGACTCTATCACATGACAAAACCACATGACACCACAATGTGACACCACCATGTGATTCAACCACGTGACACCACCACGTGACTACATTACGTGATGACACCACCACGTGTCACCACGTGACTCCACCACATGACTCCACCACGTGACACCACCACATGACTCCACCATGTGACACCAACATGTGACACAGCCATGTGTCCCCACGTGACTCCACCACGTGACACCACCACCATGTGACACCACAAAGTGACACCACCACGTGTCACCAACATGTGACACCACCACCACGTGTCAACCACATGTCACCACGTGACTACCACATAACTCCACCACGTGACACCACCAGATGTCACCACGTGACTCCACCACATGACTCCACCAAGTGTCACCACATGATTCAACCACGTGATTCAACCACGTGACTTCACCAAGTGTCACCAACATGTGACACCACCACGTGACACCACTATCACCACATGACTCTACCACGTGAGTCCACCACGTGACTCCACCACGTGTATCTATTTATACAGTTTTCTATTTATAGAATTGCATGTTTCTATTTATAGAATTGCGTGTTTCTATTTATATATATATATAATAGTATATTTATATATACAAAATATATAGACAAAACTAATGTGACAAGATAGACCGATTAATTTTATAAAAAGGAAACGTTAAGATTTTGTTCAAACATTCCTTTGTTTGCTTGAGAGAAAGTAAAAAGTCAAGCGTTGCCCCCGTCGGTGGTGGCTCTTGTTATACTTAAGATATATTTTATCTTTGAATTTAGCTATCCATATGAGTAAATGTTGTTTTTTGTAAAATCATCTGTTTGAAAATAGTGAAGGGCTATTGTACTCATCGCATTCAGTACACTTTAGTTCAGTTTTTACCAAAAAAATTGTGTCTCCAAACTACTGAAGAAAATGGATTGAAACTTCACAATTTTCAAACTTATTTAAAATGAATAATAGGAGGTCACTTCCCAATGCCATAACTAACTAGATTTTGACAGATTTATGGCCCCTTTTAAATATAAAAAATTTCACATTATCCAGGCTTCCTATCAAGCGCTTGCTGTCTTATGGACAACTTCTGTTAAATTTTTATTGTTGAAACAGTTTCCTAGAAGTTGTGACTAGCTGGCTAGTATCCTATAGTGACTGTAGTTCTTACAATATTAAAGGGTATTTGTGGCATGGTGATTATATATATAAGGTTTCTGCCTCTCAATCTAGGGATAATGGGTTTGAGCTCTACTGTAAAATAAAGTCTGATTCAGTAATGTTTTGTGGTATTGCACTGTAAAATGAAGCCATTGTTAAGATTGGTAATGGTATTGCGTGTCAAATGAATTTTGTGTTGAATTGCAATGTAAAATGAAGCGGTGTTCAAGAAAGTTTTGTGGTTTTGCACAGTGAAATGAAGTCTTTCTATTATTACCTTTTTAAGCTCACCAGAATCGAAGGTTCAGGGTGACTTATTAGTACTCTGGCGTCTATTGTCTGTCGTCATGCGTCAACAATCATCTTCTCTGAAACTGATGGGCAGATTTACCTCAAATTTGGTCTGTAGCATCCTTGTGACATTCACACTTAAATTTGCTAATGCCATTTCAATTAGCCCCTTTAAGGAGTCAACAGAGCTAAAAATATAACCTTAAAACATCTTCTACTACTAAATTAAATGATGGATGATCACCAAAATTTGTCTGACGCATTCTTAGGTAGTCTTGTATCAAATTTGCTTATTTTAATATGATTGGCCCGTTTAAGGGGTCTCTAGAGTTAGAAATAGAGTTAGAAGTAGAAATACATTTAAACGTCTTCTTCTACAGAACTAATTGATGGATGATCACCAGATTTGGTCGGAAGCATTTTTAGGTAGTGTTTTATCAAGTTTACTCATATTAATTTGATTGGCCCCTTTTAGTGGCCGCTAAGGCTAAAACTAGAAAAACATTTGAACATCATCTTCTATTGAAATGATTGAAGGATGATCACCAAATTTTGTCTGTAGCATTCTTAGGTTGTGTTTTATTAAGTTTGCTCATACAGTAAACTCCGCTTATAACGAACTCGTAGGGACATTCAAAATTTGTTCCTTATATCCGGAGTTCCTTATAAGCATAGAGCGAATTAGTTCCTTGTATCAGGAGTTTTTATAGCGAACAGATTTACATATAACGAACTGATTGTTTACCATCGTCTTCCATTTTGAAGATCATTTGATTAAGAAAAATTATTGATTTATTTCTTTTTTTAGACACAATACCCGTGAGCGTACTTTTAGAATTTGAGAAGCCTTTGCTACTTCAGTTTTAGTTTTACTCCCTTTCTCAATGTCTCATAAAATATCATATATTGTTTCTAAACTCAGGGCATTTCATTTTCCTTCCATGGTAAGAATTAACAAGATTTTCGATTTTTTCTTCCTTTCATATTGAATTTCTTCTATTATATTTTAAGAGTGACTTTTACTAATGAAAGATATAGATTTCCTTCAATATCAATCAAGCGTACTTGGTAGTTTTTCAATGGATTATGCTTGCAGATGAAAACCGACTATAACTGATAATAATTATTTTACTCGAGCAAAACTGTAAAAGAAGAGAAATAAAAGAATCAAAGGAATAACCGTTTTATCTTGGTGACAGAACTCATGCTAAAAATATCCTAAATAGAAAACTATTACGTACTGCTATACAAATTCATTTTCATAGATGTATTGAAGTTCATTCAACAATAAACGGTACATTGGTATTGTATTTATTAGATTGGCCTCTTTAAGTGGCCGCTAAAGCTAAAAATAGGAAAAAAACATTTGAACATCATCTCTTCCTTAAATAATAGATGGATGATCACCAAACTTTGTCTTCAACATTCTAAGGTAGTCTTTTATCAAGTGTGCTCATATTTATTTGATTGGCCCCTTTTAAGGGCCGCTAAAGCTAAAAATAGAAATATATTTAAACGTATGTTTCTACAGAACTAATTGATGGATGATTACCTAACTTTGTCTGTAGCATTCTTATGTAGTCTTTTATCTTTTCCTGGAAAGCAGTTGTTTCTGGTGAGCAACTCAGGGCCATCATGGCCCTCATGCAAAGTTTTGTGGGAATCATGGTGAGCTCAATATATTGTGACCCCCACTACAGTCGTCGTTTGTCGTGGTCGTCAGCAATTACTTTAAACAACATATCTGAAACCAATGACTGCACAGTAACCAGAATTTTCAGGGATGATTATTGGGTGGTCCCATTTTAAAGTTGTTCAAATGGTTCCGGTCTGCTGCATAAGTAGGTAACGGGTTAGAAAAGGAGTTTGGAAATTGCAAATAAAAAAATCTTCATGTCTGAAAGTACAAGACCCAGAGCTTTGATATTTGATATAATATGTTGGTCCTCTACGTAAATTGTTTAAAGTATAGTCCTATGGTCAAAACTTGCCCCGCCCCAAGTTTTCTATAAATGTATAAAGTATAAACATTAACAAAACTTCCCTGAGTTGACAAAAGCTAGAGGTTAGATATATGGCTTGAAACATTGTGTAGTGGACTTCCACCAAAATTCTTCAAGTTACAGCCTAGGGGTCAAAATTGGCCCCGCCCTTGGGGGTCATTGATTTCCATTATAAACATATAAATGTAGGATGCTCAAGAAACTTTACAGTCATTGCTCAGCACTGGTTGGTTCCAGGAACGGATTCAAAAGTGTTTATATAAGCTTATAGCTTCTTACACAATCGAACTAAAATTAATTCTGTATAAATGTAGTAAAAACTTAAAAATCTTCTTGTCTTAGGTTACAAGGCTTAGATCTATACTTTGAAATTTGTTATATAATATCATCTAAAGGTTCTCTACAAAGAGGTTTAAATTTTGCTTCTAGTGTAAAAATTGGCCCAGCCCCTTGGGTCATTGGTTTTCCTTATGTATTATTATAGTAAAAATTTAAAAATTCTTCTTCTCTGAATGGACAAAGGCAAGAAACATTGTCTGGTAGACCTGTATAAATATTGTTTGAATTAAACCCTTGGGTCAAAATTTTGCCCTGCTCAAGGGGACACATTAATCCATCGATGTAAAGCCATGAAATTTAGACCATGTACACATTTTAAGATTTAAAAGTGAATTTGGATATCAGCCTGACGAAGATTGTGACAAGTGACCTTTTTGTCATGTCCCTTGATATAGATTTCTTTGATGATGCGATCCATTTCTTGTCCTAAGAT